GGCGGCCCCCGGAGCCTGTGCTCTGTGTCCCAGCGTAGAGGGTCCAAGCAGTGCAGACAGGGCCCCCCTGGCGAGGCTCCTGCCGTGCCAGCAGCAGCCAGTCCCCAGGGAACTGCTCTGATCCACCATACATCCTTTCCAGGGCACAAAGGGCATAAAGAGATCTGCCAGCTGCCACCCTGTGAGACTTCTGATCTCATCCCGTGCACACAGACATGTGCCAGGTCTGAACCTGGGCGGACAACAATGCCCTTTGACAAAGACAGCAAGGCCAGGAGCAATGGAGATGGAGGAGGAGGAAGAGGAGGAGGAGGGCCATGCATCTCTACACAGAGCAGGCCCTGTGTCTGCACTGGGCTGTATTCCTTTCGTTCTTCAAGCACAGAGTCACAGAGTGGTTTGGGTTGGAAGGGACCTTATAGACCACCTCGTTCCAACCCCCTGCCATGGGCTGGGACCCTTGCCACCAGCCCAGGGTGCTCAAAGACCCGTCCAACCTGGCCTTGAACACTGCCAGGGAGGGGGCAGCCACAGTTTATCTGGGCAGCCTGTGCCAGGGCCTCACCACCCTTCTTCAAGGGGCCATCTAGTCCCTGTTTCTCCCGACTGCCACACGCACCTGCTTGAGCTGCTGCTGTAGCTTCTTCTTGTCACCCTTGAGCAAAGAGTTTTTGAAGCGCAACTTCTGTCTCAGCAGATCCTAAAGAAATACAGCAGATTATGGTGGAGCAGCAGAGCCTGGGAGAAGAAAGAGCAGCCAGACCCCACTCCTTCTGCTGTGGTTCCCGTTCGTCTCATCCGCACGCTGCAGCCTGCACTGCTGGCTTAGAAAGGAGCCCAGCGAAAAACACTGCTCAGCATCCCCCTGCCCCGAACGTGGGGGCATGGCCGTGTCCTTCCCCAGGCTCCGCTAAGGCCCCTGCATCATCTGTGCTGCAGCTCAGCAACCTGGTGAGCACCTGAGCTAGGCACTGACTGACAAGTGTGCCAGGGGCTGCCCAAAGACACTTGCCGTGACATAGGCCACACTGGAGTATGGGAACTCGGATTTTCCCTAACCGACATGCTTGTCAGATAACAGACTGGCCTTAGACTTTGCCTCGATGCACTGACCCGCTGGCGGTTCTTCTCCTCCATGTATCTCAGCAGCTTATCGGAAGCTCTGATACTCCCTTTCTTGCTGGATATGGTGCTGACGATGTCTTTCTCAAAGTCACTGATGGCTTTCTGCACATCAGCGCACCAAATGTCTGCTTCTTCAATGACTGCCTGTAGAAATAAAGTCACACAACAGTCAAGAGGTGCTAACTTCCGTTATTCAAACAGCTTTGGGAACAGAGAACACCAGAAAGGACCAGGCATGCTCTCGGCTGGCATTACTAGCATTTCTCCCATGGGAGCACTGAATTTCGCCCTGCGCAGCTTGGGGCACGTGCTGCAGGCTCATGCAGTGCTCCCACTTCATTGACTTGAAAAGAACAAGAAAAAACATCTCACACGCGCCCGAGCTTCAACATCTGTCACTCCGTCCCGACCTACAAACATTGCCAGCCTGACCAAGCCAACACCAGGCAAAATACCACCCTTGTAGGTTGGAGTCCTGATCCGGGGAAGCAGGAGCGTGCAACAGACAGGTTAGGTGTAAGTGACTACAAGTCCTCTGCGTTCTGAACCTCATTAACTGCAGCCCAAAGCGCTGCCACTTCATTGAGTTGAAAAGAACAAGAAAAAACATCTCACACACGCCCGAGCTTCAACATCTGTCACTCCGTCCCAACCTACAAACACTGCCAGCCTGACCAAGCCAACACCAGACAAAATACCACCCTTGGTTTACTGCGCAT